GCACGCATATGAAGCGTGTGGACCCTCCCCATTGCCGTCGGGGATTCATGGGAGAAAGGTTCGCCCGCGTCTCGCGGATAGCCCAGCTTTCCCAGGCCGTCGTCTCCGAGGGAGGCCAGAGTCGGTGCCCTTGACAAATTTGTCCGCCGACTACGCGAGAAGGAGGAAGGACCCCGACCGTGACCGCCCGCAGGCGCCGTGACCGTGGCTCGAGTGAGCGCGACCTGTACCGCGATCGCGACGCTCATCGCGAGAGAGACCGTTCGAGAGGTGAGAGGTCCTACCGCGGCGGCGGAGGCCGAGCTAGCAGGCGCAGCCGCAGCCCGGAGGTGGACGCCTACGAAGCCGACAGACGTAAGGCCATCGCCGAGCGCGAGCGCAACCACCGCAAGTCAACCATGGCCGAGAGCCTGCTGTCGGACCGTCGCGCCTCGCCGCCACCGCCACCTCCCCGTCGTGAGCGTTCGCGCGAACGCAACGGCGGTCGCGACCGTGAACGAGAGCGTGAACGGGAGCGAGACCGAGATTACGATCGCCCCAGCCGATCCCCGTCGCGACGACGACGCATACTACGACCGCGACCGACGTGACAGGGAGGTCCCCCCCCCCACAAAAACCTACCGCCGACGCATCGATTCGTATGACGAACTTCCTTATGGAGATGAGCGTCCTTCTGGATCCCGCCGCCGCAGAGACGACGATGATGCCGACAGACAAGATTCCAGAGACTCCAAGGTACGCCGGACCACCCAATCCCAGAAACACCCCTGACTGCATTACTGACGCGTTTTCCCCACCCTTCGCAGCGAGTCAAGCGTGAGAAGACACCCCGCGAACGCGAGGCCAGCCCTCCTCGCGACGTCAAGACTAAGTCCCCCCTTCCCCCGACCGCCACTACCGCTGCTGCTGTGACGGGTAAGAAAGAAGCCAAGGAAGATGACGCCGGCGTTCATTCTGGGTCTGAGGAAGGCGAGATTGAGGAGGATTAGGTTCCCTCCCCCCCGCATCTGGAACGTGAGAGATGGGTGTAGAACAGAAGGCATGGGGTGGGAAAAGGCTGGACATTTTCTTCTCAAAACAAGTCTTCGAGTACGTCCCGCCGCGAGACCTCCCGTCTTCGAGGGGCCTGATGACCTGCTGCGCGTACAGATCCTCGGCATACCCTCGCACACATATACACACCAAATATTCGCCACTGTGCTTTTCCAACGGGCTGACGAGCACCGCTTTTGTGCTCGACGACCATGAAAAGGGGTCCAACCGCTACCGCGAGAAATAGTCGTATGTATGATTTTCTTCAAAATTTGCTGAATGTTTAATGCCATTACATCTACGCCAGATTCTAGTGTCTCTTTCTTTGAAACGAAGGAACGCACGAGATGTGATGCTACAGCATTCATCTTCATTTTTAGCTGAGTGGATTTTCTCGTGTACCCTATCTGTCTCTCTGCAAACAGTTTCCTCGTACGAGTTAGGTGCCGCTCGACGAAAAACTGACGGCAGTCATCCTGCTTGTTCCATTGCCCCTCAATCTACGATGATGGTCTGTCTTCTTTCTTCGCTTGCCTTGCTGTATATAGAACCGCCTTCAGGTAGCCATGCCACGCTGATCAAGGTGGCCCCATACGCAATGTTGTCAAGTTGAAGAAAGAAAAAAGAAAGGAAAGAAGAAATGCAAAAGAAATGGACAAGAACAAGAACAAGAACAATCATCCAGACAAAACCATCATACCTCGTAGGACCAGGCAACAGGGGATAGACTGCCGTCACCGCTGTCAGTCGGCGTCATCATCGTCGGGCTCGCCGGCCTCCTCTAAACCATCAAAAGCACCCCGCCCGCCGCCGCCGCCGGAAGCGTGCCCCCGCGACCCTTTATGCTGCCCCTTTTGAACGCCCAGAACGCCCTGACCCGATGCATTATCGTGACGGTGGAGAAAATGATCCTGGCGGATGCCCTCTTCAAGAGCTCTTCTCCGGGTCGTCCAGGAAGAACTGGTGCATCACGCGTGTTAGCATCAGACGGTTCAAAGCTGCGAGAAAGTGGGAGGAGTGAACGTACGTAGTTGCCGCCGGCCTTCTGCTCTTGGTCGAGCTGCGAGTTGGACTTGTTGATGCGGGGGCGGTAGTTCGTGGGGTCGCGACGGAAGGTGACGTCGAGGTTCTTCAGGAAGGTGTTGCAGCCGGTGAGCAAGCGACTCGGGGCGTGTTGGCGTTGGGCGTCGATGCCCGGGCTGGGCCGTCAAAGAACGATGACGCGGTCCGCGAGGTAGGTGGCCATGATGAAATCGTGCTCGACGAAAAAGGCCGTCTTCTTGGCATGCATGATGAAGCGCTTGATGACGCGCGAGGCAATGATACGCTGCTCCGAGTCGAGGTAGGCCGAGGGCTCGTCAATGAGGTAAATGTCGGCGGGCATGCCGAGGGCCAGGACAATGGCGACACGCTGCAGTTCTCCACCGGACAGGAGGTTGATCTCACGGTCCATGATGTGGTTGAGCTCGAGGACGTCGCACACCTCGTCGCGGTTACCCATGTTGCTCTGGGCATCGATCAAGCCCTGGACAGTCTTGACGGGTCCACGGACGGCCTTGGGGATCTGGTCGACATACTGAGGCTTGACGATGGCCTTGAGGTCGTCCTCGAGAAGCTTGGTAAAGTAGTCTGTTGGGAGAGGCGTTGGGTCAGCGGGGATGATCGCAAAGCAACTACATCGCCAGAAAGGTAACAGGGGGCGGGGGGAAGACCTACTCTGAAGCTCGGAGCCACGGAAGTACTTAATGACGTCCTCCCAGTCGGGAGGGTTGTCGTACTTGCCCAGGTTGGGCTTGAGCTTGCCGCTGAGGATTTTGAGAGCGGTACTCTTGCCGATACCGTTGGTTCCGACGAGACCAAGAACGTTGCCAGGGCGGGGCATAGGCAGGCGGTGAAGCTTGAAAGAGTTGGCAGAGTAGCGATGGGTGACCTGCGTCTCGAGGTTCGTGGGCAGGTTGATAATGGTGATGGCGCCGAAGGGGCACTTCTTGGGGCAGATACCACAACCAATGCAGAGCGACTCGGAGAGAAAGGCAATGCGGGAAGCGGGGGACACCTCAATGCAGAGCTTGCCAGAGCGCACGACGGGACATGACTTCTTGCACTCCTGTCGGCACTTCTTGGGCTTGCACTTGTCGCTGTTAACGATGGCGACACGAGTGAGTTTGTCAGACATTTTGGCGGTTTCGCTGCGCGTCGCGTCGATGTCGTGATGGGTGTCGTGTGTCGAGGAGGGGGACAGAGTTGTGGTGGCGGGGTTGACGATGCTGGATTTTCTGGGTTTTCGCTAAAGAGGGGCAAAATGCAGTTCTGGGCAGCCCAGGGCACAACAAGCAGAGGACAAGGCGGGCAATGGGTGGG